ACTTACAGAAGATAAAGATGAAAGTTACAAAAGATAAAGATGAAACTTACAGAAGATAAAGATGAAACTTACAGAATATAAAGATGAAACTTACAAAAGATAAAGATGAAACTTACAGAAGATAAAGATGAAACTTACAGAAGATAAAGATGAAACTTACAGAAGATAAAGATGAAACTTACAGAATATAAAGATGAAAAGATAAAGATGAAACGTATGATAGATACGTACTTTTGCTTTCTCGATCACTTTTTGTGGAATGAAGATTCTGGGAAAAGCATACATTGCTCCAACTACTTTCTTACATTCCAAGCCTTTTATGGAGTTGAATGTTTTTGTTACAAAATTGGCCCTTTCCTTTAACGATTGGAGTATGGCAGTTTTTTCCTGGGAATTAAAAAGACAGTTAATTTAAAATTAATTGATCTGTTTTATCGTTTAACAAGTAACATTTTAACTACTTCGTTGTAGTTATTTAAACTTAAAATGTCCAAAAATACCCGTTATAAATATATAGATGTATGAAACGACAAAGACTATAAAGAAAAAAAAACCGTTCAAGTATGAAAAGAAACAAACGTTTGAGCTATTGTGTAAGTACATTATATATATTTTTAATGCAAAACAGACATATGTATTTTGAGCTTCTTCTATTTTAGAAAATCAATGTACTTCCTGTTCTTTGCAATCACTTGTTATCCACACTATATTAAAACTATTTTGGAGCCCCAACACGACGTTACATTCCATGTCGCCGCGTCCAGTCCTGTGTTTTATGATTACCGTGCATCATGACAATAGCTCTTAAGGGTAGTTTCTATTGCAAAAGGCTCGATCGTAAGGATGTCATGTCAAAAGCACAGCACTCCTCCCTCCATTATTTTGATGATAAATCTAGACAAAAAACATACTGGTCAACTCTTTGAATGCATCATCTATAGCTTCCTGTATGATCGGTCTGTTGAAACGGACACTAAAAATCGTTATCTTCGTAAAATGGAAAAAATGAATATCCATTTTATTCTCCAGCCGTTGGAAGTAGTTTGTTGAATATATTTCATAAAAGTAACTTGTATGTTCATGACTTGTTTCATTTTCCAGGTGGAGCTTCTTTTTAATTATGTTGAGTACTCTTTGTTGCCTTAGGCACGTGGACAACTTTTGTCATTGACTTTGTTTGTGCTCATGTAATATCACATTTTACAAGACAACGAATTTTGCACGTCATGGCTGAAGTATGACCTGTTGCAGCTATCTTGCTGGATAGTTCTGGTGTTCAATTTCGTCCAATTTGTTTGTTTTACAATACCATTAAGTACAAAGAATACCCCAGCTTGTAAAATCTAAATTCATTGATCTGTACACATCTTTATGATCTGAATATATACATATTTTGCACTGAAAATGACTGTTACATACTCTTCTCAAAAACGTTCAGTTTTTCGATGTACAAAATATAAAATATTGTCAAAATGTAGTTCTGATACATTCCATTCCTGTGCGACTATATACCGGTTTTGATTGTCATGTGACCTATTGATTTGCTTATTTCAAGTTGCTTTAGCAAGGTACTCGAGGGCTATCTATACTATCTGTCCCTAATTTAAAAGTGATAGACTAGAGAGAAGGCAGCTAGTTATCACCACCCACCGCCAACTCTTGGGCTACTCTTTTACCAACGAATAGTGGGATTGATCATCACATTATAACGCCACCACGGCTGATTGGGCGAGAATGTTCGACGCTCACGTTAATTATTTTCAAAATAGCTGAGATAGACAGTGAAGTTTTTTTTTCGTAAAATATTTTTTCAGGTAGAAATTATTGAAGTTTCAATAATTTTAAAAATCTAATAATGGACTGAAGTGACTTATTCTGTTTGTCCTTTTTAATAAGGTGAAAATATAAGATATATGAATGTCGTTGTTGAACATAAATCATTTGGTTCCAAGAAACTGACAAGATATAAGAACGTCGTTGTTGAACATAAATCATTTGGTTCCAATGAATTTGAAACTGACAAGATATAAGAACGTCGTTGTTGAACATAAATCATTTGGTTCCAACGAATTTGAAACTGACAAGATATAAGAACGTCGTTGTTGAACATAAATAATTTGGTTCCAATGAATTTGAAACTGCTCAACAAGCGTCTATAAATTCAAGTAACAATGCATCTTAATGATACTAAATAAAAAAGTAACTTCTTCAATAAAGCTTATTTGGACACGATAAGAAACGTTAGTAAAAGTCTGTACACTGATCTAGACTGAGATATTTAGCCTACTTCAATTAAATAAGTTAGATTTAGTTGTTACATTAGAAAATTCCTAATATTATTTGATGTCAAATAGTTTGTGATCTATTCTATTTTGGATTATCAACTGGAAATGTTTTAAGAAATATGTTTAGTCTGTTTACCCATGTTTAATATATATTAAATAATTAATATATAAATATATTCCTTAAATTTTTAAAATAATCTCTTTTCATTTCAAGTCTAATTTCTACTTTGTGACGATACCAATTGTAATATAAACATGTTTGCTCATATTGTACAGAATATCATACCATAACCAGTTGCAAACTGTAGTTTCGAGCTATACCAACTCTACATCAGCCTAGATAGGTCAGTTATAAGTAAAGTTATTTAAATGGTTTTGTATGAACCAAGTTGGGAGAAACAACTTGGTAAATAAAACTGTTTACACACACTCATGTGATTGTAAAGAGTCAAAAGATGTCATATATATACAAAACTTGCAACAAAAAGATGTCATATATATACAAAACTTGCAACAAAAAGATGTCATATATACAAAACTTGCAACAAAAAGATGTAATATGTACAAAACTTGGAACAAAAAGATGTCATATATACAAAACTTGCAACAAAAAGATGTCATATATACAAAACTTGCAACAAAATGATGTCATATATACAAAACTTGCAACAAAAAGATGTCATATATACAAAACTTGCAACAAAAAGATGTCATATATACAAAACTTGCAACAAAAAGATGTCACATATACAAAACTTGCAACAAAAAGATGTCACATATACAAAACTTGCAACAAATGTCAATTTTTTAATCACGCCAACCAATAGTTCTCCCACAAGATGCTTTTTCTTGTTGTTCTCATACTTTTGCTTGTATTCTGGTGTAACAGTATTTAATTACTCAATGTGTATTTGTATAAATATATATAGAAAGTAAGGCATAAATATCAATAAAGTAAAATTTAGAATTAAATGAGATCTAATGTGCAAAAAAAAAAACAAGTACAATAAAAGACAAGCTTGTGCTTATTTTGACCTTCTCCTGTACCTAGTTATCTACATACGTGTTTGGGAGATTATATTCTCAGTGCCATTACATAAACAAAACCTATCCATAGATGTTTATGCCTATGTTTGTTTAAACACAACTGATGTAGTACTTATTGAATTTATAACGTCTGAAGTACTTACCTTCATAAATTTATCATAAGAAGGCTCGTTGGGATGAGGTGGGTTTGTAATGCAATAGATCATCGCCTAAAAAAAAACAAGTGGGGGGTTATTAATTTTTTTTAAACTTTCTGTTTTGTAACCTGTAACTTTCATAGACTTCATAAAGGTGTAAGCCGAAACGTCGAGTATAATAAATAAACATTTATCTGAAGTTGTTTGTCGTCTTAATGGAGAATGTGAGTTATTCATTTTTCACACGACAACAGTTATCTCGATCCTTTCAACTAAAACTATCAAAATTGTTCATAATAATCAATAGGAAAACATGAATGTCACTTGAATTGGAAGCTCATTGCACCCTTCGATTAGGTTGTCACAACTAACTAAAACGAGTCTACTCTGAGTCTTGATGTTTGATCAACATCTACGTATACGGGACATGTGCCGTAAAAAAAATATTAAACACAAACATTTGACGTAGCTTTCATGAACTTGATATTAACTAATCTATAGATTATCATCATCTACTACTGAAGAATGAAAGTACTTACAAGTAATAGTATTATCCTATATTTATTCACATTTTACGTGAATTTATTTATTTATCTGCAAACTCCTCTCACAGAAGCAAACTTAACAGACGGACTGAGGGTAGCCCAAGAATATCCTTATGTATATGGTGTAGCTCCCTAGCAAGGAAGTTTCAAGTCGGGGCTGAAACGCATTCAGAAAGTCACGCAGGAACGATAGCAGTCTAGATTTTGTGTTCTTGACCATTCTAGGGTTAGCAGAAGCGCCTTCTTTGAAACTTTGTTAATACCCTTATTGACACTGTAACGAGATCGAACTTAGGCAAACGTACTAGGGTATCCTGAGTGTTTGTTCGGGTACGAAACCCCGCCTCTTGGGGTAGTTATAAAAGTCATTGGGAATAATAGAGGATCGGTATATTAGGTCTTCTATCTATGCCGTTCTCACCACGGGTATCGAAACCCGGTTTCTAACGTTATAGGTTCACAGACTTGCCGCTGTGCCATTAGGAGTAAGGAGTGGTGGCGACTTTCTGTGAATCCTTTGAAACCTTCCAGCGGAACGCGGATATTTTATGCTAGTGATATCAAGGATATGGAAAGTGTGAAAACACATCATCATTACATAGATGGGAAGGCTCGTTAGTAACAGTGAAATTAATTAACAACTTCTAAAACTTCATATTTTACTGTCTTCAGATTATTCTGATAATAATGATTTTGTAGTTTCGTTTTCATGTTTACAAACATCTACACTAGAGGGCAGCAAAAGGAAACAAATGTGTCACCTGTATTAATTCAAATTAGTAAAAACACTATTAACTGACCACTGTTTCTGATCATTAAAAGTGCTCTTTATGTCAAAGGAAAAGTATAATTAATTACTTACTAGAAAGTATCTATTCGCATTTTGAATCAAAAGTTAAAACTTATATAACCTTAAATATTTAATATGGAACGTTCTGAACTGGTGTTCGTATATTTTATGTTCATTTTATTCATAATATTTTACCAGTTTTGCGAATTTGATAATTAAGGGGCATAATCTTATATTTTCCAAAGTAATTGTAATTGTTTTATCCTTCTAAGTATAAACAAAGATAAATCAATACTCAGATTCTATGTGAGGGACTCGCCTTTAAAGTCGAAACCTTAAAGCCTGATATTACTTAATTTACGAATAAGTGCAAAAAGTTTTTTTTTTTCAAAATGTGGCTAGGCCTGGGCATTAGGCAAACATAATCATCTAAGTCTTACTTGACTAGATAGATTTTATTACATTTTTATCAATATTATTGTATAATATTACTAGCATAAAATAACCCCCTCAGAGAGATGTAGGCCGCCTCTTTACTTACAGAGACCCCCAATCTACCAATCAGATTCCTCTATGACCTCCAGTAACTTCTAAGGGAGTTCGTACACAAAATAAGTAAATAAAACTACTCTATTTCAATATGGACATTCCCTGGGGCACCCCGAGTTCACCTGTCAAGCTTCGTTCTGCTAGAATCAAAACTGTGGAACAAACAAATAAATTCACAAATAAATAAAGTGAGCTAGGAGAGAATTTCACCAACAATGTAAGTTTCCAGCCTAAGAATGGAGCAATAAATAAAATATTTAAGGTAAGGAGAAGCCCTATAAGTTTTATTTGATCATTCTTTACTCCATAAATAAAGATCAAACTTTTATCCTACCTGCCCTATAGTACTGGAACACAGATGAGATGAGATGTATTTCCAAAACATTTTCTTCACCCCTGGGTCTAAGTTGATGATTTCACAAAATCCACCACGAGATCCACATCTGTAGAATTAACTGGATTCATTCGTAAAAGTAATAATTATGATATTATTTTAAACGAAAAGAAATAAACGACTTTACAAAAGGAAGTTTTGTTTTTTGTATTTGTGACACTTATTGTTCACTTAAGCTTTCATCGGTGTTATTTAAACATAAAATTCATTTTGCGAGAGTTATCACCGTCAGTTTAGTAACTACTAAATAAGATTTGAGTTTCCATATGTGTTGATAAAATGTAAGATAACCCTAGTATTTTGACACGACACTAAATAAAATAAAAATATTTTTTCGGAAAGGGCTGGTAGAAAATATTATGACGAATTTTAAGTGTAAGTCTGTGAGTAGTGAGAAACACCGAGGCAAAATCAAATATGTATAATTAATCAGTAATTACATTATCTTCAAGGCCCCTGTCACGGTTTCCTGGTATTTCATTAGTGGTCCCAGTCTGTGTTGGAAGCAATGGTCAAAATGATAATATAACATTCAGTTCAACATAAATATTTGTGGTATTCTAAGACAGTGCAAAAGTTAAACACACATCACTAGTTTATAGTACAAAATACTACATAGGTTCAACGGAAACATGGGTATATGGTGTATAATAAAATCCTAGCTATAAAGATAATAATAGCTTTAGTGTACAGTTTAGTCTTAATGTTAAAATCAGGGAAAGCGCTTAGTGAAAAGGTGTAAAATAACCCCTTACTGTAAACTTTAAAGTATCCGTGTAAAAGGTAAGGTACAAGGTTAGTTGGAATCCCCAAATGTTTGATTGTTTGTTTGTTTTGTAATTTCGCGTACAGCCACACGA